CTAAACGACCAAATTAATTGTTAAGGGAAAAAATTACTTGCGGCTGCAGTGACAGCTACAGAACGAACACAAAGTTATTTGGACATCATTGAAAATAAAAATAAATGATAAATTAACTAATTGATAAATAAATCAGACAAACACACGTTTTTTAATAAGCATGCGTACCTATACAGTTTCTCTCCCCTTCAGCACAAACATTTTCAAGCACGTGTATGTCTCTGTAAATTAATATAAAATAAGTAATTTTTTAATAAATTAATTAGCAAACGGATAAGAAGACCAAATAACAAACAAGTGGACGAATATGCATTTTCTAAGAAAAAAAAAATTAATTAATAAATATACATGTAGGTATTCAGTAAAATTACGCGTACACGTGCAAAGGCGACAAGCGAGAGAGGAAGCAAGTCAAAGTATTTATACTAGCCGGTGTGTACATATATATACACATAGAGCAGCCTCGGCGGCTCAAAGCATATTACGTACACGTGGAAGCACGCATACCTCACGCGTCGGTTCGAATCAAAACTGAAATGCGCGAAATCAAATAGCGCGTGCGAATACTACGCATACCTTGGACCACGCATATACATGTACATATATATACGTTTGTGTATCATACGTACACATCGGCACATCTATATGAGCGCATGTACATTATGCATGAGAATTCTTATTTTTTAGTTTTTGCCCCTCTCTATGTGAACTACGGCTGTATGATGTACCTATAGGTATAGTATATAAAGAAGAGGCAGGAGATTGTAAAAAGCTGCGGAAGAGGAGGGAGGAAGGAGGGCACTCGTGCGTACGGGGGTCGACTCCATCCCACGAGCAAGTACATAAATATACACGTATACACTATACTCACATTTTTCGCTAACTTTTTTTTTTTTTTTTTTTTTATTGTACTTTACTTTGAGGTGACGCACGTGTTTGGCGCGATTGATTCTTGCTGCGTTTGGCTGTAGACTTTTTCCTCGCTGTGACATATTGTTTTCACTGGATGAAAGAGAATGATCGTCCATTGCGCGAGTCTTACGCTTTTATTGTGTACACCTACTTACAACTTTCTCCCCTTTTTTGTTCAGACGAAGCAGTTGTTTTCATGTCTCGTTCGAAAGAGAAAATCAACAAGAGGTCCAATAAATCATCGGCAAGCTATTTGTTACGTACTTAAATACTCGACTCAATGTGAAAAAATAACACTATACACATTATCTGTTTGTAACATCATGTCAATCGACCCAATTAAGTAGACTAATTCCATGCAACAGCAATTAATTGTAACGTAAAAATATACACGCTCTAAAAAAAACTCGACATGAAATTGAAAAAAAGAGTTTGCGAACACAAAAAAAAAATTGTTCATATCTCGCTTTGTCGATCCACTCGGTGGATGTAGTAATAAAAGCCCTGCACCCGCGGTAGTACTTAACACGTCGGGCTTCGACAATCCCGACTATTTTTTTTTTTTTTTTTTCCTCGACTAGGGAAAAAAATAATAAAATTTTTAGAAATGTGCTTTAAAATAACAAATATACAGAAATTTTGTGAAATTATTTGATGCCAAATTAAAATTTTCAAAGATGTTTTAAATTTAAAAATTCCATAAAAAAACATTTTTTATATGGATACAACGAAAACATTTTTTAAACAAAACACATTTTTTTCTAACTCTTAACTTTTTTTTA